ATTAAAGCAAAAAACCTCCAACTGCTTGGAAACCTGCTTACCCAGCCCAAAGAAAAAGCAAATGGGTAGAACACACACCCCCTATTTACTTTTAGGAAGAAAAGAAAAAAAAAAAAAAACAATGGGTTGGAAGACTGTGAATTTCCCTGCAGGAGTTAAGTACCCTGCCTCCAGGCAAAAAAACCTGCAATTCACAAGATAATCCCCTTTTGTCTCTGCTTGGCCAAAGTTTCAAAGCTGCTTTCTGGACTTTCTTTCCAAAGAAAAAAAAATTTCCTTTTTAAACTCTGTATTTCTAGTTCAAAAAATCTCAACTGGATCTCAAATGATTTCAGGTTAATCCCACCACTGTGCCACCATGTCAAGGTTCCTCCCCCACTCTGAACTCTAGGGTACAGATGTGGGGACCTGCATGAAAAACCTCCTAAGCTTATCTTTACCAGCTTAGGTCAAAACTTCCCCAAGGTACAAAATATTACACCCGTTATCCTTGGAATGGCCGCTACCACCACCAAACTAATACTGGTTACTGGGGAAGAGCTGTTTGGACGCGTCTTTCCCCCCAAAATACTACCCAAAACCTTGCACCCCACTTCCTGGACAAGGTTTGGTAAAAAGCCTCACCAATTTGCCTAGGTGACTACAGACCCAGACCCTTGGATCTTAAGAACAATGAACAATCCTCCCAACACTTGCACCCCCCCTTTCCTGGGAAATGTTGGATAAAAAGCCTCACCAATTTGCATAGGTGACCACAGACCCAAACCCTTGGATCTGAGAACAATGAAAAAGCATTCAGTGTTTTACAAGAAGACTTTTAATAAAAATAGCAGTAAATAGAAATAAAAAAATCCCCCCTGTAAAATCAGGATGGTAGATATCTTACAGGGTAATTAGATTCAAAAACATAGAGAACCCCTCTAGGCAAAACCTTAAGTTACAAAAAAGATACACAGACAGAAATAGTTATTCTATTCAGCACAATTCTTTTCTCAGCCATTTAAAGAAATCATAATCTAACACATACCTAGCTAGATTACTTACTAAAAGTTCTAAGACTCCATTCCTGTTCTGTCTCTGGCAAGAGCAGCACACAGACAGACCCTTTGTTCCTCTCCCTCCTCCCAGCTTTTGAAAGTATCTTGTCTCCTCATTGGTCATTTTGGTCAGGTGCCAGCGAGGTTACCTTTAGCTTCTTAACCCTTTACAGGTGAGAGGAGCTTTCCCCTGGCCAGGAGGGATTTCAAAGGGGTTTATCCTTCCCTTTATATTTATGACACATGCCTTAGTGATAGACTCAAGGAAGTCTGCCTATTCAGCTTATCAAAGAAAAAGATTATGGGGTGACTTGATCACAGTACCTATATAGAGAACGCAAATTTGATAACAGAGGGTTCTTCAATCTAGCAGACTAAGGTATAACAAGATACTACAGCTGGAAATTGAAGCTAGTCAAATTCAGACTGGAAATAAGGTGTAAAATTTTAATGGTGAGTGTAATTAACCAAAATTTTTAAATCATGATTGGACCTCCCCTCCGCTCCCCAAGGGAGACGTTCTAATTCAAGCACAAATTAATGCAGGGAAGTCCTATGGCCTGTGTTATGCAGGATGACCACAATGGTCCATTCTGGCTATATAATCCATGGATCCATGAATAACACCTGACACAGTCTCCTCTCCTCCTATTGTGTTAGGTAATATTGAGAGTATAGAGCCAATTTGGCTTCAGTATTCATGGAGTTTCACTAAGAACTCTTCTTAACTGTACATAGCAGAGAGAATCACTACACCCAAAACTCTAAAACAGAGAATGCCATGAAGCTAAGCGAGGTGAAGTGGCCCCTTAACACCCTTGTAGTCATAGGACAAAAAAGTGGGTTAGAGGGTTACAGATTGTTGTAATAAGCCATAAATCCAGTGTCTTTAAATCATGATCTTAATAAAAGAAAAGGAGTACTTTTGGCACCTTAGAGACTAACCAATTTATTTGAGCATGAGCTTTCGTGAGCTACAGCTCACTTCATCGGATGCATTCAGTGGAAAATACAGTCTTAATAAAGACACTGGATTTATGACTTATTACAACAATCTGTAACCCACTAGCCTGCCCCCCCCCCCCACCTTTTGTCCTATGCCTCCAAGGGTGTTAACAGACCGTTTTACCTTGAATAATCCCTTAGAATATGTGCTAACTATTTATGCTAAGATATCTGTTTGATCTTGTATTTAGCTGTGAAACTCTCAGTACATTTCCCAGACTTGAAGAAGAGCTCTGTGTAGCTTGAAAGCCTGTCTCTCTCACTAACAGAAGTTGGTCGAATAAAATATTTTCCTCGCTCACCTTCTCTTGTCAATATCCGAGGCTAAAACAACACTGCATACACGAGGACAAGCACTCAGCCAATGAAACACCAAATCAGAATTATTCACAAACTTCAAATTGAACTTTCATTAGCTGTTCTGTTTTTACTTTTAATTATTTGTATGGCAGTTGCAATTGAAAACAAATCCATTTTGGGGAGCCTTGTGTGGAAAGAGAATCTATCATTTTGGCCTGGTGAGAGACAATGTCCTACAGTAAACTACAACATAACATATATGAGCATAGTCAAGACCCCTTATACTTGTCAGCAAGATGGACCTAAATTCTCAGGCAAGGTCCCTGGATTCTGCAGTAACCTGGTGCAACAAATTGGAAATTTTGTGTCAGCTTCATTTAGATATTTTAAATGGAGGATTTAATGAATTAAATATGCAAATGATACAGGCAGTACAGTAACTTTGTATATAAAATTCAATTTGTTTTATGCTGTTTCCACATTTTCAGTGTGCATTGTAGGTATTGTAAGTATGAAGCCAAAAGTTTCAGTAGTGGACAGATGAGACTGGTGGTATCCAAAAGGGTAAGAGAGGAGATTTTAGATTCTGAAATAAATGGGATATTTTTGCTAAAATGATTTAAACTGAATTAGTTAATGCTGACATTAAAATTGTCATGTTTTGGTTTCAGAATTACCATGTATTTCAGAGTGGTAGCCGTGTTAGTCTGTAGCAGCAAAAAAAATGAGGAATACTTGTGGCACCTTCGAGACTAACAAATTTATTTTGGCATACATATTTCAGATTACCACCATAACAGTTGAACTGTAGCACTGTAGTGTAGATGCTTCTTTTAGGGTATGTCTACACTATGAAATTAGGTCGAATTTATAGAAGTCTTTTTTTTAGAAATCGTTTTTAAATAGTCGATTGTGTGTGTCCCCACACAAAATGCTCTAAGTACATTAAGTGCATTAACTCGGCGGAGTGCTTCCACACTACCGAGGCTAGCATCGACTTCCGGAGCGCTGCACTGTGGGTAGCTATCCCACAGTTCCTGCAGTCTCTGCTGCCCATTGAAATTCTGGGTTGAGATCCCAATGCCTGAGGGGGCAAAAAATATTGTCGCGGGTGATTCTGGGTACATGTCATCAGGCCCTCTCTCCCTCCCTCCGTGAAGCAATGGCAGACAATCGTTCCGCGCCTTTTTTCTGTGCAGACGCCATACCACAGCAAGCATGGAGCCTGCTCAGATCACTTTGGCAATTAGGAGCACATTAAACACCACACGCATTATCCAGCAGTATATGTAGCACCAGAACCTGGCAAAGTGAAACCGGGCGAGTAGGCGACATCAGCATAGTGACGAGAGTGATGAGGACATAGACACAGACTTCTCTCAAAGCATGGGCCCTGACAATGCAGGCATCATGGTGCTAATGGGGCAGGTTCATGCTGTGAAACGCTGATTCTGGGCCCGGGAAACAAGCAGAGACTGGTGGGACTGCATAGTGTTGCAGGTCTGGGACGATTCCCAGTGGCTGCGAAAATTTCACATGCATAAGGGCACTTTCATGGAACTTTGTGACTTGCTTTCCCCTGCCCTGAAGCACATGAATACCAAGATGAGAGCAGCCCTCACAGTTCACAAGAGAGTGGCAATAGCCCTGTGGAATCTTGCAACACCAGACAGCTACCAGTCAGTTGGGAATCAATTTGGAGTGGGCAAATCTACTGTGGGCGCTCCTGTGATGCAAGTAGCCAATGCAATCAAAGATCTGCTGATATCAAGGGTAGTGACCCTGGGAAATGTACAGGTCATAGTGGATGGCTTTGCTGCAATGGGATTCCCTAACTGTGGTGGGGCCATAGACGGAACCCATATCCCTATCCTGGCACCGGAGCACCAAGCTGGCGAGTACATAAACTGCAAGGGGTACTTTTCAATAGTGCTGCAAGCTCTGGTGGATCACAAGGGACGCTTCACCAACATCAACGTGGGATGGCCGGGGAAGGTACATGATGCTTGCATCTACAGGAACTCTGGTCTGTTTCAAAAGCTGCAGGAAGGGACTTTATTCCCAGACCAGAAAATAACCGTTAGGGACGTTGAAATGCCTATAGTTATCCTTGGAGACCCAGCCTACCCCTTAATGCCATGGCTCATGAAGCCGTACACAGGCAGCCTGGACAGTAGTCAGGAGCTGTTCAACTACAGGCTGAGCAAGTGCAGAATGGTGGTAGAATGTGCATGTGGATGTTTAAAAGCGCACTGGCGCAGTTTACTGACTCGGTTAGACCTCAGCGAAACCAATATTCCCACTGTTATTACTGCTTGCTGTGTGCTCCACAATATCTGTGAGAGTAAGGGGGAGACGTTTATGGCGGGGTGGGAAGTTGAGGCAAATCGCCTGGCCGCTGGTTACGCGCAGCCCGACACCAAGGTGGTTAGAAGAGCACAGGAGGGCGCGGTGCGCATCAGAGAAGCTTTGAAGACCAGTTTCGTGACTAGCAGGCTACAGTGTGAAAATTCTGTTTGTTTCTCCTTGATGAAACCCCCCGCCCCTTGGTTCACTCTACTTCCCTGAAAGCTAATCACCCTCTCCTCCCCCCTTCGATCACCGCTTACAGAGGCAATAAGGTCATTGTTGCTTCACATTCATGCATTCTTTATTCATTCATCACACAAATAGGGGGATAACTGCTGTACAGGGGCTGTAGCGGTGGTCGGTGCTCCTGCTGCCTTTCCTGCAGCTCAACCATACGCTGGAGCGCATTAGTTTGATCCTCCAGCAGCCTCAGCATTGAATCCTGCCTCCTCTCATCACACTGCTGCCACCAATCAGCTTCAGCCCTCTCTTCAGCCCGCCACTTACTCTCTTCAGCCCGCCACCTCTCCTCCCGGTCATTTTGTGCTTTCCTGCACGCTGACATTGTCTGCCTCCATGCATTTGTCTGTGCTCTGTCAGTGTGGGAGGACAGCATGAGCTCAGGAAACATTTCATCACGAGTGCATTTTTTTCACCTTCTAATCTTCACTAGCCTCTGGGAAGGAGAAGATCCTGTGATCCTTGAAACACATGCAGCTGGTGGAGAAAAAAAAAGGGACAGTGGTATTTAAAAAGACACATTTTATAGAACAATGGGTACACTCTTTCATGGTAAACCTTGCTGTTAACATTACATACACAGCACATGTGCTTTCATTCCAAGGTCGCATTTTGCCTCCCCCCACCACGTGGCTAGCCCCTCACCCCTCCCTGTGGCTAACAGCGGGGAACATTTCTGTTCAGCCACAGGCAAACAGCCCAGCAGGAATGGGAACCTCTGAATGTCCCCTTAAGAAAAGCACCCTATTTCAACCAGGTGACCATGAATGATATCACTCTCCTGAGAATAACAAAGAGAGATAAAGAACGGATGTTATTTGAATGCCAGCAAACATACACTGCAATGCTTTGTTCTACAATGATTCCCGAGTACGTGCTACTGGCCTGGTGTGGCAAAGTGTCCTACCATGGTGGACAGAATAAGGCTGCCCTCCCCAGAAACCTTTTGCAAAGGCTTTGGGAGTACATCCAGGAGAGCTGCAAATGCCAGGGCAAATTAATCATTAAACATGCTTGCTTTTAAACTATGGATACTATTTTAAAAGGTACACTCACCAGAGGTCCCTTCTCCGCCTGGCGGGTCCGGGAGGCAGCCTTGGGTGGGTTCGGGGGGTACTGTCTCCAGGTCCAGGGTGAGAAACAGTTCCTGGCTGTCAGGAAAACCAGTTTCTCGGCTTGCTTGCTGTGAGCTATCTACAACTTCATCATCATCATCTTCCTCGTCCCCAAAACCTGCTTCTGCGTTGCCTCTATCTCCATTGAAGGAGTCAAACAACACGGCTGGGGTAGTGGTGGCTGAACCCCCTAAAATTGCATGCAGCTCATCATAGAAGTGGCATGTTTGGGGCTCTGACCCGGAGCGGCCGTTTGCCTCTCTGGTTTTCTGGTAGGCTTGCCTCAGCTCCTTAAGTTTCACGCGGCACTGCTTTGGGTCCCTGTTATGGCATTTGTCCTTCATGCCCTGGGAGATTTTGACAAATGTTTTGGCATTTCGAAAACTGGAACAGAGTTCTGATAGCACGGATTCCTCTCCTCATACAGCGATCAGATCCCGTACCTCCCGTTTGGTCCATGCTGGAGCTCTTTTGCGATTCTGGGACTCCATCATGGTCACCTCTGCTGATGAGCTCTGCATGGTCATCTCTGCTGATGAGCTCTGGCCAGCGTGGCAAGCTGCAAATGACCATGCAAACAGGAAATTGAAATTCAAAAGTTTGCGGGTCTTTTCCTGTCTACCTGGCCAGTGCATCTGAGTTGAGAGTGCTGTCCAGAGCGGTCACAATGGAGCACTCTGGGATAGCTCCCAGAGGCCAATACCATCTAATTGCGTCCACACTACCCCAAATTCGACCCGGCAAGGCCAATTTAAGCGCTAATCCCCTTGCCGGGGGTGGAGTAAGGAAATCGATTTTAAGAGCCCTTTAAGTTGAAAAAAAGGGCTTCATTGTGTGGACGGGTGCAGGGTTAAATCGATTTAATGCTGCTAAATTCGACCTCAACTCCTAGTGTAGACCAGGGCTTAGAAAGGGGTTCTTCAGTCGCTGCAGGAACTCCACCTCCCCTACTGGTGGAACCTAGGCTGGCAGAAACATTCTTCCTTCAACCTAGCTGCATCTACACGAGGGGTTAGGTTGGCCTAGCTATGGCACTCAGGGGTATGAATTTCTAACTTTTAAGTGTAGGCTAAGCCTTAGGCTAGCTACACACTCAGGCAGATATCACTGCAGCAGTCAGAAATAGATTGTGTTTTCAAGGTTATTCTCAGAACCATGAGGGCTGTTTTAAAATCAAAGCTTAGATGGAGCAAAGCTTTGTATAAGGTATATGGTTTCTGCTACTGGAGAATCGCAGAGAATTCAAGGCCACACATATGGTAAATAGTCTATTTGCTTGTCATTAAAATAAATTCAGTTCTGGAGAAAGCTTATGCTCGAGTGTGTCCTTGTCTTCCACAAAATGTGAGATTGTTTATGCTGGCAGCATTTGATCTTTTATGAGGAGGGGCTGATGATTCAGTGTTTCAGGTATCCATTGATTCAGAATACATTCTTTATAAGTGGAAATAAAACCATAATTTGAGCAGTGGTGTGAACTAACAATCCACTTTGCAGATTTTGACAGCTGTTTAATGAAGCTAATGCCCAGGAAGCAAAGCACTGCAATTCAAAGATGCAAATTTGGCAAAATGTTAAATATGTATTCAGTTGTGCCACATGATCTCCAAATATCTGGATATCCAGGGGCAATACCACACTGTAGATCAGAAAAGGGGCACCTGAGAGAATGTTTATTGTTTTTTTAAGCACAGACAATAAGTAAAACTGTCTGCATGGTGTTAGACAACATCATGATAAAATAAAATTTCTATAAACTACTACTAACTATGTTTTATAGCTACAGAATCATGGCTAGATCTGAAGGAATGGTTCCAAACTGGAGCCCTTATGTTAACATGGTCAATCAAGCCCATCGAGTCCAGAAATGCCTCAGTCCTTATTAGCCAGTAAATATAAACTATAAGAAAGAATGCCTAGATATCTCAGTGGATGTTGTTAATCCTTTAGTTTTACCAAAGCACAACTAGGTAGTTGAAATCCCTTATGACCAATACGCTGACCTTTTATAAGCTCCTTATCTGCAAAAACACTCCTTCCCTGCATCTCACTCTGTCCAGGAGGCTGGCAGCAACATCCAAGAATCAGTTTCTGTGCTTATTCTGTTCTTTACCTCAAACCAAACTCTCTCTGCTGTTTCAGCCATGAGATTATTCATTTCATATTGACACAAGCAACATTTTTCCTTGATACACATTTAAAAAAAAAGAAAAATAGGTCATTGTTTTCAAAAGTAGCCTCTGGTTTGGGGTCCCCAGTTTGAAGATACCTTGTACCTGATTTTCAGATATCCCAAGCACCCATAACTTTACGTAAGTGGGAGCTACAGATATTCAGCATGTTGGAAAATCAGGACCACAGTGTCTCAAACACCCAAAAACACACACATTCAGAATTAAAGGCCACTTTTGAAAATATTAGCTCGAGAGTGACTTGCCTTATTTAAATGTTAGATAAAAACATTAGACAGTGGTTAGTCATCTAGTGTGCTGTGACTGCCATTTATTACACTGCTCATAACTAGAGCTGGATTACATTTTTCAGAGGAATCGTTTTTGCAATGAAAAAAGCAGCTTTGGTTGACTCTCTAAACTATTTGTGAATTTGACAGGACTTCAACAATTAATTTTATAGCTAGATAAAAATATTTCAGGCTACATTCAAAAATACCCAAAGGAGGAGTCCACCTTACGACTTTTATCCCAGTAGTTATTGAACTTGCTGGAGATGTGGGAGAGCCAAGTTTGAGTTATCACTTTGGAATGGGTATTTGAACCTAGGTTTCCGCCCTTCCATGTGAGTGCCCTAACCCCCAGACCACAGTGCATTCTGGGGTGGGTCTCTCTCCACCTCTCCTGTGGCAGGTGTTCCACTTTGTATAAAATACCTGAATAGTCACTGGGACAGAGAGCGAGCGAGCGAGCAAGAAAGCAATACTATAGCCCAGTATTTAGAGCACTCACCTGGTAGAAGGGGAAACCCAACTTCAACATAGACTATGAGTGACTTGGGGCAGGAATTGTCTCTTTGTGCTCAACACTCTACAGACATCTAACAATGGGGCCCAGGTGCTAGCACAATAAATTATCTTCACTTTTAATAACTAAGACATTTATAATAGATCACATCTTTCTATAGCAGGGGTTCTCAAACTGGGGGTCTTGAACAGTGCAAGGAAGTATATTCCTGAGGTACAAGGCTGGGAGCTGGGGGGTGGGGATTTGGCTGGTGCCTTTCTCTGTGTGATTCATGAGTGGCTCTGGGAGCATTCATGCAATCTAGCTGTGTGTGGGGTTCCACATGCGGTTGTACTGAATGATAATGGCTCCTGGAGGGGTTTGCTGCTTTTCACTAGCAAGGCATTGTGAGAGTCAGCCCAGGCTGGAGAGTTAAGGGGGCACAGTGATCCAACAGTCCCAGGCTGCACCCTGGGGATTCCATCACAATTTATATCTGGACAAATTATTTATGCCATGGTCATTTTCCCTTCCTACTCAGCGGGTATGGCAAATTAATTTTGGTCAGGCAGAGCAGGGGAGAAATTTTGCCACTGATTTTTGGGCACTGCTACAATGGACAGAGTTACCTCAGGTTTTGCATAGGGTCCCAGATATTCCCAAACTAGTCTTCTTTAGTATGCACCCCAAGTAGCCCAGTTGTGTTCTCGGGACCTGTAGTGAAGTTGGTTAGGAAAGAATCCTCCTCCTACATTAGATTCTTCCTGAAGTTTCAGTAACTCCTCCCTCTCCCCCTACCCCACCATTATGCTTCCTCTCTGTGTGGGAAAGCAGTTTGTGGGCTGCCCAATATTTAAAGGAGCCATTCCAGAATAACTTATATGTAAGTGTGAGAAAAATTTGGCCCAACATTCTCTGAATGACTGATAGAAATCACTGCTTCAGGAGAATGAAGGCAGTGTTCTACCCTCAGATACATATCTATAGTCCCATACTTAGCTGACAGGTGAACATGCAGATTTGAAGGAAGAATGTGGCCTTTTTGATTAAAAATTAAATAAAGTGGATATGAGGTGGACTGAAAATAGCATCAGAAATAGGGGAGGTTAAAAATGTCAAAAACTAGTATTTTCATTAACAGTGATGAGAAATGAGGGGATGCAGAGAATATAATGGAAGAAATAAGACCCTTATACAGAAGAATATGATAGGATTTTATAATTATAGCTGTGACCTGAAATTATGTGCTTTGGCTCTTCTAGCATAAAAGCAAGATTTAGTAGTAACCAATATCCTCAATAAATTACCCGTGGCCCCACTGCTCTCTCTAACTGACAAGTAAACTCCCTTCTTCCTTTCACTTCTACGCTCCTTGTCAGCTGAGTGGAGTAAGGATGGTCTAGCCTCGTTGTTGGAGTGGGCATCAGGCCTAGTGGTCTGAGCAGGCATCAGTAGTCAGTAGCCAAAGCCAAAGGTCAAACTAGATGGCAGAAACTGGAGCAAGCCAGATGTCAGGCAAGGGCAGGGGGCGGGTTCAGGGCAGCGTCAGATCAGAGGAAAGGCTGGGTGCAAGGCAGGAGCAGCAGGAACAAGATAACTAGGACCCTACCAAATTCACAGTCCATTTCGGTCAATTTCATGGTCATAGGATTTAAAAAATTGTAAATTTCATAATTTCAGCTATTTAAATCTGAAATTTCATGGTGCTGTAACTTCAGGGGTCCTGACCCAAAAGGGGATAATATGGGGGTCGCAGTATTGCCACCTTTACTTCTGCACCGCTGCTGGTGGTGGCACTGCCTTCAGAGCTGGATGGCTGGAGAGTGGCAGCTAAAGGCCAGGAGCCCAGCTCTGAAGGGAGCACCACGGCCAGCAGCAGCAGAGAAGTAAGGATGGCATGGTATGGTATTGCCACCCTTACTTCTTTACTGCTGTCTTCAGAACTGGGTGCCTGGCCAGCAGCCGCCACTCTCCAGCCGCCCAGCTATGAAGGCAGCACAGAAGTAAGGGTGGCAATACCATGAAGCTCCTAAAATAACCTTGCAAACCATCCTCTTCTCCCCGTGGCTTTCCATTTATTTCCCGTAGACTTTTTACGCTATAATATACAGATTTCATGGGGGAGACCAAATTTCACGGTCTGTGATGCCTTTTTTACGACTGTGAATTTGGTAGGGTCCTAAACATAGCACAGGAATAGGCACAGTGGTGGGCATCAGCATTAAAAACCAATGAGTTGCTGCTGGTGCTGCTGGCTTAAGAGCCAGACTGCTGGCCTCTGCAGCCAGCCAGGTGGTGTGGATAACCAGGCAGCCCGCTGCAGGCCAGCTGTACTGATGAGGCTGCCTGGAGACTAGCTCTGCTGCAGCTCCTGATTCCTGACATTCCTTGAACAGACAATGCAGAATTTCTGCTTTGATTTTTTGTCACATGTAACTCCTCATGATCTCCTTCTAACTGGCTTCTGCCCACTGCACACCACTGAAACTACTCTTTCTGAAAATGCTTCCGAATGACCTCTTTCTGACCAAGCCTGGAAATCTGTACCCCATCCTTTGATCACTGTAGCCTTCAATGCTGGTTTGATCATT